GGCTGTGGTTGTATTTGATTCACAGAATCTGGAAAGTTACATCATGTCAAATATTTCCGTTATTTCATGTTTTCCAGAGCTTCTCTTTCTTCATGTTTTGAAGCTTCCCAACAGAATTCCCAACAGAATTCCCAACAGAATGAACAAAGTTCTTGACCATCAGGAAAATGAGGAAACAGAAAGAGGGTACTAGAAGGTGGTTGTGTATTTGAACGAAATGGTAAGGCATGCAGCCACCGGCTTCCCATCCTTGACAAGACAGTCATCGTATGCTAATCGTTTAAATGTCTTTAGGTTGATGAGCGTTGAAGAAGTGAACCAGCCACAGTGAAGATGAATGTTGCTGATAGACTGCCCTGTTAAGCATGTGTTTGTGGTTTCCACCCTGTAAGTGGGAATCCCCTTGTGCTGTGACTCTGTCTGGGATTGAGCAGTCACAATATCATTCTTCGAACACTTGTTTCTAGTAACAAGAAGTTTTCTTTTAAAAGGCAACTGTGATTTGCTCTAAATCCACAGAATTCTGTTCATATTCTGAAGCAGAGACAGAAGCTAAGAAAAAAAACAGCAGTCCAATCGTAATAATTGTAGCCACCAACAAAAGATGAGTTCTCATCTTTTATGGCCAAATATTGAAAAAGAATAAAGGATGAACAAGAAATTGAAGAAGTTGATCTTCGTGCGTGCTTTGATACAGGCAGCTTATAAATAAAGGTTTAGACAAAGGGACAGGGTGCTTTAGTATTTGGGTTATCATTAGGGGTTATGGATTGGTAATGGAGTCAATTATGGTAACAGATTTTAGAATTATGGTGGTAGATTTTTAAAAAGATTATTAGATTTTTTTTTTTCAATAAGATATTTAATACGTAAAGGTTATTTATGTATTCAATTTCATATCATATAATTTTTTTTTACATATTTTATTTCATATAGTAAAAAGCTTTTAGGCCAAAAAGATATATTTATCACTTTATTTTCAATTATTATTAAAATAAACCATATTACTTTTTTTCAAATTTCCTTCTTTATTTTTCATGCTTTAATCTCTTCAAAAATATGGAAAAATAAAAAAGCTAGTTTCACTTTTAAAGCCAATGTCATGTTTTAAATTAGAAGTTGGTAAAATTAAAGTTAATTTTTTTTTTTGTAATAATTAATAAAAAAATATACAATAAATACACACTTAAAAAGGCGAAAGTTAGAAAAATCTTACTGTATAAGCTAGCGTGATCTTCCTAATGTATTAATTAATGATTTGTCCAATATTAACCCATAAAATGTTCCTCATTGTCTTGCTGTTCATTCATTTCTTCAAAATCCGTTGTATTTTAGACAAACAAATTCATTAATTCCATATCCATGATTACGAAGAAGTTGTGAAAAGTGTACGTACGGAAGAATATAAACTTTTTTTTTTCATTTAAAGATATAAATAAATTAAAAATAAATTAAATTAGGTAATAAATTTTTATTTTTTATCTAAAAATACAAACTTTATGATTTTTTATTTAAGAATACTATTTTATCTTATTTTAATTAAAATTATCATTATGGACTCAGGAGCGCATCATTTCACAATAATCAAATATGTAACTGAGGATTTAACAATCCAGAAATGTAATACTAAGATTAACTGAGTAATCAATGGAAACCAAAGAGATTCTCTGGACAGTCAAGAATCTAAAAGCGTTATTAAGTCAACCCTAAAGACCCACTAAATCGTCATTTTTTTTTTTCTTAACAAGTTCATCCATTTATTTTTTTGATGAACCATCTAATACATGTATGAAAATACAAATTTTCAACCCCATGGAGGACGCTACAAGATCCGAGATACCAATTTGTAGAACCGCATGTCTACTCTGCTTTACTTTCCTCTGATTTTGATTCAGTGGTTACGGACTCAGAACTTGAGGTTTGTTCTTCTGCAGTAGTTGCAGACTGCATTGGCTTCTTGAACTGCACCAAGATCATCGTCATGTTGTCGCATCCATCCCCACCAGCTGTTGATGGTGCCAAGCACCTGTCTAGTACTCTCTCACACACAACAGAAAGCTTGCTTTCCTGCAAAGAATGTAACATTTGCATTACATGCTAGTCAATATGAAACTAGAAATAATGCATCCGTTAAGCTTTTTGCAAGGCTACTAGTAAAATGTATGTACCGAGGCTAGTTGCTCGTGGATATAATCCACCAGTTGCTGGCTTGACATGCAATCCCTAAAAACAATCAATGGGAAAAAAAAAAAAATCATCCACTTTTCTAAGTGCAGAATAGAAACCGAGTGCTCTTGATCTTGAATCATGCATACCAGATTCCATCACATGCCAGCACAATGAACTCATCATCATCACAGAGCTCAACCTAATGGGAAAACAGTACAATGTTAAATGACAGAATTATAAGATCAAGAGAATCAGGTTTGATAAGAGATAAGCAACTGCCATAGGTCTAAAAAACCAGGATCACCAAACCAGAGGAGGATATGTAATTACGTACAGTATTTATATCTGGATTTGCAGTCACTATTTGCTTATCAGCAGACAAAAATTTGTTGCGCTTGAACTCCATGTCACCTGCATGAGGTATAAAATGCCTTAATAAATTGAAAGGTGAAACCACTGATTTTCTCTAGTCATTAAGCACAAAGGTATATACCTATTGCTCTTGCAAGATTTAAACTGCCATTGACTCGTCCTGCATGTATAAAACCACCAGCCTTTAAAATTCTGTCTTTCTCAGCCTCAAGATCAGGTTTGTGGTCTCTAGACAGATTGTAAGCCTACAGAAGAAGAGCCACATAAGAACCAACAAAAAACAGCATTTCAAGACAAAAGAAAAAAGGTGATATTCAGTGTTTGCTGGTTACAAGTACCATGTCAATTCTGCCACTAACTTTTGAAAATGGTAACAGAATCATCTTTTAAAACTTCCTTGCCTACTAGTTGAAAATTACCTGACCCTTCCTTGATATCACACAACGAGAATCGCCAGCATTTGCAACAATAAGCTGGTCATTTCTAATAATTGCAACACAGGCTGTGCTTCCAGAAGTAGGTCCAGCAAAATCGGAGTGAGGGCCCTGTTAAAAATTTCATAAGAGATATAAATATAACTTTAGTTAAGCAGAACTCTTTTGTGAAAGCACAAAGATTATAAAATGGATAGAAAAAGCCATCATTATTGGAAATAGTAAATAATTATGAGTAGGCTCCTTTTGTTTTCACAAATACCTCCTCAAAGGCCCAATCATCAACTAGGTTATTACCATCACCACCCTTCGGAGACCATATCAACCCTTCTATCATGCCAGTAAACTTGTTTATTTTATCACCCAAAACAGCTAACTCCCTCCATCCTCTTTGTCCACGCATCATCTCATCCATCCTGCACAAAAACATAACTCCAGTTGGAAAAATAGAACATAAACAACAGGGAGATATTTGTGATCAGCAGATAAAGGTAACATATTCCAATCACAAAAGGGTTAAAGGTAAGACAATGGTAAGGGTAGGCCCATCACCCATTATTTGCTTAGTCTATCCTTTGTTTTTAAGGCATCCAGAATTCCAGATCTTGCCTGATTGGATCTAGAATAATGAACCTTTACAAAGCCAGAAAACCCATAGTTAAAATTTACTGTCAAGGGACTAAATTGATACATCTTTAATGTTCACAAGATACATTTGGAGTACATATTATATGGTATAATACATGATGGTCTCATACATCATACATGATACAAGTCAATCTAGAACTGGTATCACAATTTAAGATACTTAACATTCACACATCTATGCATGAATTAAAACCCAAGTACTTAAAACCCAAGGCATTCTAGAACAGGTATCACATTTTAATATACATAACATTCACAAATCAATGCAAGGATTTTATTTAACAACCTGAAAAATGCTTTCTGAACTGATGTTCCAATATCTCCAGCTGCATATGCTTCATGTTTGAGAACCTGCTGGTGAAGGTACTTTGCACAAAACTTCGCAACAACCTTGCCTGCAAATCATGAAACTACGTAAGTTGCAAAAATCTAAACATCATTGATGACTAACCTAATACTTACATTATCTCAGTTACCCTTAGTCTTCAGTGAGATCCAATTCTAATACAAGAAAGCTACAACATTGAAATTAATAATAAGATACACTGGAAATGTACAGCTACCTTAGTGAACCATCCAATTCTTACCTCCATGCCCATCATATACACCAAAGAATGAAGTAGTTGAATCCAGATCAGGATATGCAGCATGCTATGAAAACAAATAATACTAATCATGAAAACATTCCTCTAATAAAGAAAAAGTAAAGCATCCAAATGCTTTAAACACATTGAGAACATGAAAGATTCAATTTGTTACTCACTGCATCTTCCATTGTTGCACGCCATCCTTGCATGGATGACTGACCATATCTAAGTCTATCATTCTCACCATCCTCAGAGAACTTCTCAGTTTTGGGGGTGCTAAGATATATCCCCATTTCTATCTGAAAGGAATTGAAAACCACAAGAAATACATGAAAAATTCCTACATTCAGACTTCAGCCCACAAAAAAGAAAGAAATTACAAAGTAAAATCCCTTCAATTGCCATAAGAATTAACATCTCCAATTCTCCATTATTAGAAAAGAATAGAAAAATATCAATTTATTAGTGTCAGAAAATCAAGATCCCTCACACAAGCCAAACATTATATCCAATTATATCCCATTCATTTTTCTCAGTTCTTTCAGCTCACTGAACTTAGAAGGGAGTCTCTTGTTGATAAAGTCAAATTTCAACCACCATTATCAACCCAGCAACCCACCCACCACCTGTCACCCAAATTAACACACAATGATAATCAAGAAGGATTGATCACAATCAGATTAGTTAATGAAGGCCAATGAGTGCAAGAAGAACACACAATTACAAAAAAAACCTTGAATCAACCATAAACATAACCTCTATTAAGATCAAACTTAAAAGAGACACAACTGAGATAACAAGGAAAACACGAGAAACCCACATGCTAATTTGGTACATAATAATCAAAGAACGCAAGATTTAAGCAAGAGGAGGTACTATACAAGATTCATATGGCTTTAAACGTACTCACAGGGTTAGACACCCGATTGGACGTCAGTACAGAGATCACTAGAGAGAAACACCAATTGGGTAGGATCGAAACTGGACTACCCTCTCCAGAAGAAATTACCCGGAATCTGAAGCAAAAACAAAGATTTTTCAAGCAGAAAACACATTAAAGAGACACTGAAAGGGAAACATTCAAAGGGTTAAAATGTAATTCGAAGGAGAATATACTAGAGAAAAAAAAGACTGTTCCTAGTCAAAACAATTGAGACTGTTGGTGGACTCCAAAGGCCATTTTAACGATTTAATTACATATTCCTCTTTATATGCAGAAAATGAAGAAAAAGGCGTTGCCTTTAACTTTTCCTAACCGACAGTCCTTGGAAAGATCAAAACTTTACGTTTATATCTAACAAATCTAATCATTTCTTGCTAGGTTCGGTAATTTAAGGCGCGAGCGCTTTTCTGATAATTTCTTGATTTCTTCCGGTGAGGAGATTTTCTTTCTCTTAAAAAAGAGAGGAAATTTGCGTTTAGAGCTTTTTATTATGGAATCTAAAGAAATAAAAAAAAAATCCATTGTTTTGCAATACAATCTGAATTTTCAAGAATAATCATACATAAGAGGATAATTTTGAGATTAAAATTTAAGATTAATAATATAATATAAATTATATTATTTAAAATATTAAAAATAAATTTTATATTACTTAATAATTAATTTTTTTTATTTTTTTAAAAATATATAATATTATATATATTAATTTATTTAATAACATAATTTATATTATATTATTAAAATCAAATACTCATCTTAAATTTTGGTACTAAAGTACTCTTGTCTTGATAACGTTGAAATCCCTTTTGTTATGTATTTTCCAAAACAAAAATTTTGTTAAGTAAAACATGTCACATCCATGTAGTACTACAATTATTTTGGTCCATACATTCTTCAAAAAATCGAAGAATTGGAAAATGTCTTTGACAAAGGTGGAAACTTCCTTACATTTCTAATTAATCCACTTGGAGCATGGTATGGTAGTATAGTACCGTAGTAGTTTGACGTATTTTGTATGTTATCTTTTATAAGGAAAAGAACCCACTTCTTTATCCACCTTTTTTGACCCTTTTCCAAACCCAGAAAAAGACGGTACAAACGACCATTTTTTTTCAAAGCAAGACAAGGTCTTGGGTAATTTATTTTTTTTTAAAATATTTTTTGAGTAATTTTTTAAAAATATATTTACTCTTTATATTTTAAAATAATTATTTTATTTTTATTTTAAATTTATTTTATTAATTGTATTTTTTAAAATGCATTTAAATAAAGCTCATTGACATTAAAAGTGATTTCTTCAAATAATAGTTCTTATTTTACTGTTTTAATTAATTAAGAGACTGAATTATTTTTTACTTTATTACTGAGAATATTTTTACTATAATTGGTAAGTTAGAGGTTTAAACTTGCAAAGAAAGGATAAGATCTGCTTTATCAAGTTTGTATATGATTATGAATAATATAATAGATATGATAAGATAAAATGCTTTGTACATTGAACCCAACAATATTTAGAAAGGGGCACCAAATCTTTGATTTCATTGATGAATTACTATACAATAATTAATTATACTAACACCAAGGCTGATTGGTTCAGCCAACTGACCTATCACCTAACAACTTGCTGCCCACAATCTTATATCCAACACCTAATGTTGATCTTCATATCATATTCTCCTTTCATACTCTTCTGTAACTTTGATACATATTAGAATTTGAGAATTTGTAAAAAATGAAATTACCTCTTAGTCAATAAAGGCATACTCGTTTCCAATAATTTTTTTGAAATTGATCATTGATCAATAAGGTTGTAAGTTAGGATCATAATGATCACCCTTGCTAATTGATGTTCCGGCTAGGAACTTGTGAAATCTTCCATTGATCTCAACTGCACTGAAGCCAGCAGTTTTAACAATGCCTGTTTCATTCATCATTTCTCTCCACCTGTTTGCTTCTTCCAATTGACCACAAGCTGCATATAAGTTTGCAAACATCATGAACTCTCCATCACCCAAACTAGCCTTCTTTGATATCTCATCAATAACTTTTTCCCCGGTTTTAATGTTCTGATGAATCACACAAGCATTGAGTAAGGCACCCCAGACCGATTTCCCTGGTTCAAATGGCATTCCTTCTATCAATTCCATTGCAGAGTCAAGAAGCCCTGCTCTTCCAAGAAGATCAACCATGCACCCATAATGCTCTATCTTGGGAACAATCCCGAAGTCCTTTTCCATTTGGGTGAACAACTTGCAGCCTTCCTGCACCAGACCAGCATGGCTACAAGCATTGAGCACGCCAATGAAGGTGATATCATCAGGCGTCAGGCAATTCTCTACCAATTCGTAGAAGATTTTTAGAGCCGCAAATCCATAGCCATGAGCTGCAAGTGCAGAGATTGTGGCATTCCAACAGTAAATATCCTTCACTTGGCACTTGTAGAATACCAACATTGAGTTCTTTATGCTTCCACATTTAGCGTACATCTCTATTAATGCAGTTGCTACATGGGGATTTGATTCAAGTCCATTGTCTTTAGCATATAAGTGTATCTTATTACCTTTCTCTAGCGATCCCATATGGGTGCATGCAGATAAAACACCAGTAACTGTTAGATGATCAATTTTGAGATTTCTAGTCATCATTGCATCGAACAAATCAATCACCTCATTATAGAGTTTGGCGTGTAGATATCCATTTATCATTGTGTTCCACGTGATGATATTCTTCTTTGGCATTTCATCGAACACTTCACGAGCTTTCTCCATTTCTCCATCTCGCGAATGTGCCAAAAGAATTGAGTTCCATGAAACAATATCTTTCTTGCGCATTTTATCAAATATGTCTCTCGCAGATTCGGTTCTTCCACTCCTCGCATACCCAGAGACCATGATGTTGAAAGATGTAAGGTCCTTTGATGGCATTGAATTGAACAATTCCATAGCGTCCTTCATCTGCCCAGACGAAGCATATCCATCTAACATGGAATTCCAAGCAATAACATCTTTGACGGGCATTTTGTCGAACACTTTGCAGGCATCAAAAAGGCAACCATGAGCTACGTACATGTTCAACAAGGAGGTCTGCACAAAGGGATGGTCACTGAGACCGGATTTAATCGTCTGGCCATGGATAGCCAACCCAGTACTGGAACTGGAAAGACCACTGACTGCTTTCAGTAAAACAGGAAAGCTATAGTTATCTCCCTGAAAGCCCAGTTCTTGCATATTTATGTAAGAAAGAATCACCCCCTTGGCATTCCCCTGATGGAATTGCTTCTTAATAAGCTTATTACAATTTGCAGGGTCAGGGGATGGTGAAAGACAGATGAAACTACAACTCATGAGAGCTTTTCCGGATCAAGAAAGAGCACTAGGAGTAACAAATGGTGAGAAGAAAATCAAATATAGACATAACAGATAAGGTGAAGACAGGATGAAGGTGAAGACAAAATGATAGTAACATCATCCATGACGAAAACTGGGGGCTCACAATTGTTCTTGGCTTCTTGCTAGGTCTAAAAAAAAAAGGATAAAAAAATAATAATAATAAACAAACATGATAACTCTATGTTTATTGCTTGACAAAAAAATTTACAGAAGGTAAAACTCTCATGGACCTGTTTGATCCCTGACTAGAGAGAACTGATTCCAGATGGCCTAATGCAGATGACAGCAAGAGTCTTGAACTAAGAAAGGAAACTTTCACAAGCCTGTATCTCCACTTGCTGCAGCGGCCAATACTTCTTGCCCCGAAGGGTTAGAACTAATGCTTCTCAAGGTAGCACTAAAGATGGATTTCTCGAAATAATTGTCTTCCACCTTTGACAGAATTGCCTTAACAACCTTCAAGTCTAAACCACCAGCTGCAGCCAACTGCCTGAGAATCTCACTCTAGTTATTTGGTGCTTTTGGTAGATCAATGCCAATGTCATCCAACAATGAGCCATATAGAAGACAACCAGTTCCTATATCCTTGCTAGTGAAGACATTCTGGCTTAGTATGAAATTAATAAGCTTTATCACCAGTTCCAAGCATGATGGAATCTTTTCCAGAGCAAGGGCAACAGCTTCTTTAACAACTTCAAGATGGAAAGCTGGGGCTTTGAGCTCCTCAATGCACTGTTGAGCTTCATCAAGCAGTCGGATGCTGAAATATTCCTCTAGCAGAGATTTAACCTTCCTTTGAAGATCTAAAAGATTTAATTTTGTGGTGGGACCCAGTGTCTTTTCAGGAGAACTCACTGCAACTGCAGCTGACACAACAGGCTTGTGGTCTACTGGTTCAATACTTGAAGGGTGGGCTGGAGGTGCACCACCACCATGCAATAATGCACTTGTTTTACCAGCTATTAACCCACCACTGCCTTGAGGCAGAAACTTTGAAGTCAGTGATGGCGATTTGCCTAGTAAAGGTTGCTGAACTTGCACAACAGACTTCACAGGACCTGAACCACTGCCCCTTGGCATTGATTGAGACGGAGGAACCTCCCAGTCATTAGCATCACACCCAGGTATTCCCTGCATCTTCCTGGTTCCAGGCATCCCAGGCATCACGCCCCCAGAGCCAGTTCTTGTAACAGGGAAACCCCCAGGGGACATAACCCTGAGAGCCCCAGCATTATGACCATTTCTAATGTTTGCAGTTGCAACTGGTCGAAGACCAAGAGTCTTTTCTGCTTCTGAATGAATTTCAGCAATAGTCTTTACTTTAACCTGCTAACACAAGATCAAATGAGAGCATCAGATACTCAGTTTCATTTCTGTAACTTTTTATTTCTGAATCAATGTTCCTTCCACAATCAATTTAACCTTTATATTTCACCTCTTTCTAGATAAACCTTATGAGGCATATAGTCAGTGGCAGTGAACAGTCATAGGGCAGAGAATGAATAACAATCTCAAATGCACAAAATGAAGACAAATGCTAAAAGGATAATATACAAAATATCGACCTCTTTGTGGTGGGGCACTCAGTTGCTAGCCCACAGATCAAGAACATCACGAACATGAACCTCAATCGTGGTGCAAGTTGTGAATTTGTTGTCAGTTACTTCAACCTGTTAAAGTACATGTAATTGATTCCTCAAGATTTTGGGTGCTCATCCAGCTGCTTCCCCATAGAGTTAAAAAACTGACATATGGCATCCACATTCTACTCAGCACGGCATGCATTAAGCTCCCATACCACAAAAGCAGAGTTGACAGGCAAGTCTAATGGCAAAAGAGAAAATCATACCAAATGATTGAATGCCATGAGGGACTTGAACAATATGGAGGACTATCTTTTCAGGTACCATCTTCTGCTTCAACAGCTCCCCAATAAAGCAAATGTTGCCCAGAGTTCTCAGCTTGACAATTCGTTCTTTATCCCTTCTTTCCATTTCTTGCACAGGGGCAGTCATCTCCCTGATTTCTGCCCTCAAAATACAGAGCAACTCATACATTGCCATCAGCATGACCCCTGGTAAGACTGTCACCGGCAAACTCAGACTCAATTTCTCCTTTCATCTTCAAAATATCCTCAGGGACATTTGCAACCTAAGGAAATGGGTTGAGTAAAAAAACCTGTTAAAAATTTCAAGACATGAGATTTACACATCCAAAGCGCTAAAGAGTATTACATGCATAATAGAAATTGGAAACACACATATAAGATGTGTAAAAATCCATTCCATTGTCCACAATTCAAAAGAAACATATTTAATAACTATAGATATTAATGTAACAAGTACCTCCTTAAATTGCAATAGCACTTCATGGGTGTAATGTATACACCCATAACCTTCAAACCATGAATCCCATCCATTACAGAAGTAGAAAAAACAATGCAGGTAAGACGATTATAACTTGATCCAGCACTAAAAAATAAACAGAAATAAACAGAAATATGGTGAGTTATTCATCAAAGGGCTGCGCCAGCCTTTAATTTTCTGTTCTCCTCAATAACCCACCATACATAGACTGCTCCAGCTTGAATTATCTAATTTTCCAGAAGGACCAAGTACCAATCTACATAATTAAGGAAAAAAAATAAATCTTTACTGGTACCAACTGACAATCTGATATTGATAAGTGATAACCATGCCCTATCAGAGAAAGAATGAAAGGCAGAATTCTATCCACTCCATTCATGTCAAAAATATATTAACCAAGAAACTCACCAATGTATGTAGGTTCTTTATGGGCAGCATATACTCATGGGATACCCACCTAAAAGCCTACACATTGATATATGTCCATATTTACAGCAGGTACACGCACTTGAGTGGCCCACCAAGAATTAGGACAATTAAAGCAATAGGCACCCAGTTCATCAGAATTCCTCACAGAAAGGTGTTGGCTGAGAGAATATCTACAGTCTCTTACAACCCCACTTGTACTAAGATTTATATTTTTTCCTTGCGTTGAAAAAAAAATGCCCCGCGCAAATTAAGCATTTAAAAAGAGTACTTCTTCACGATAATGGTATCTGAGATGGTGGATTAGCAGTACCCTAAATCCACTCAAATCTCGCAGTAAGTTAAAACAAAAAAAAAAAATACAGGAGAAAACAAGAAAGTTGCAATTTTGAAAAAGACCCAAGATCTACAAGACGAGATTATATACATACCTAAACACTTAACGAGCTCACAACATGTAAAGCTGCACTTTTTAACGTACCTTGGATACCGAACGCAGAATCTGGGATGAAGAAGAGGAGGAGGATTTGAAGCGAAGCGTGAAGAACCTGGGGCCAGTCTGGCCGCCGCCACCTCCGTGTCTCAAACTTATCACTGCCTGATCTGCCTGCATAACTCAGACTTTAAACCCAGGAACTAGCAGTCTAATTTAATTAATAAATTGTAAAATTTTTATTTTTATTTAAATTATTTAATTAAATAAAAATATTATCTCATAATTCCTTACTTTTTGTGTATTTAAATAAAATTAATATCAATTTTTTTTCCTTTCTCCTCTCTCTTTCCTTTCCCTTACTCATCTAGGTTTTTATTTTATTTTATTTTATTCGTTAATTTATATGAAAATTATAATTTTATTTTTAACATTAATATTACTTAAATTGTAATTTAATTCATTAAAAAATTTTCTTTTTCTTTACTTACTATAGTTAAGTTTTTGTTTTTCTTGTAAATTAATAATAAAATAAAAAATACATTAATTACATATTTATCCTATGTTTTAAGAATATATATATATAAATTTCTTATTTTATATCTAATTTTAAAATAAGATTAAAAAAATCAAATCATGCTAATAATTAAAAGCGTAGAAATAATAATACAAAATTTAAATATCTTCAATTAATTGATACACAAAACCTTTCGATTTTTACTTTCTTTTTTTTTTCCTACAAAATATGAATGTCGATTAAAAAATTAAAAAAGAAAAAAATTTTGAAGCCCCAACCCAATTTGGGGTTCTTACATCTTAAGCAAGCTCTAGGTCAGATGAAAATGCAAGTTCTATGATTTTCTTTGCTTCTCATCTTTAGTTTGGGTTTGACCCATGATCATGTTATGGAGATTTGTTATTATATTGTGCATAACTTAGCCCAACTAGCCCCATGAAGGTAAAGGTCAAATTACAAAACTGAAAGGTTGAGGACTCAATTAAACAACTAATGAAATACCAAGGAGCACCCAAGCTATTTACTTTTAAAAAATGAGAGCTGAAACACGTCCCATTCTCGCCTGTGTTTGGATTCTCCTAGAAGCTGCGAATTTGCGATACCCAGTTGGGCAAAGAACCATGGCTACCATGCCTTTCTCTGCGACTTTCTCGTCGCCCGTACGTGGTTTCTCGCAATCCAAACAGACCACAGCTTCGTTTTCTCCTCTGCCTTCCATTTGTTTCTCTGCTCCTTCCTTCAAATGCTGTCATCGGTCCTCAAAATCGACCTTTCTGCATCGTGGGTTTTCCTTGCAGTTTGCATCTATTTCTGCGTTTCAGTCGAAATCTCGATCTTTTTCCATTTATGCAGGAACAGCTACGGAGAAAACCCTCCATGATTTCACTGTAAAGGTCAGTGCTTGGGAAAGAACTTATTTTCCCTTCTTTTGTTTACGATTTTTGGGGGGTTTTCAATTTCCTAAATTTGTTTGTTAAATGCACAGAGTTCAGGGTTTCCCTGCATTTTCTTCTTCAAATAGATGGTAAAAATGCAAATTGTTTGGCCTTTTCTGTGCAGGATATTGAGGGGAAGGATGCTCCTCTTAGCAAATATAAGGGGAAAGTTCTTTTGATTGTCAACGTTGCTTCAAAATGGTACTGTGTCTTTATGAGTGTTTTGGGTTAGTACTTTCTGTGTTATGTAGTTAAGGTGGTTTGAGTTGAAAATTTTGTTTTTTTGTCAGTGGTTTGACAACATCAAATTACTCAGAGCTCTCACAACTGTATGAGAAATATAAGAACCAAGGTGAGCTCAGCGCACAAAAGGAGAGAGTTTATGTTTCTTTAGTTAGAATTTCCTGGAGTTTAGCTTTGTATGTTCTTATCTACTATTTTTTTGTCTCTTGGTGTGAAGTTTATGTAGCATGCCTTGACCCTGTAGAAAAGGTTATTGTGCAAAAGGGTTAATACCCATTTTCATCCACTCTAAAGGTAGTCTTTGTGGGACTGCTAGGGGAGAAGACTTTTTTGGAAAAACTCCAACCTTAGAAATTTGTATAAAGTGGTACTCTAATCGACTCATTCTGGTTTCTTCTATTGTTGCATTGCAGATGGGCTGTTTTTTTGTGTGCTTTAAACTCCGCAGAACTTCACGTAGGACAAGCCTGTTCTGTTGCTAAATTGTTATGACATTAAAAATGATGGACTTTGTAATTAGAAGTTGGGATTCTGATATTTGCAATTGTCAATTGATAAACTTCCTACAAAGGTTTTTTCTTTGCTTTCAAAACCTGGACTTGGTAATTGCAGCAGAAGAATTTTATTATTGGAATGTGTTTTAATTCAGAGGAAAGAGAAGAATTAGGCATCTGTTTTATGATGTAATCTAACTGTCGAATGCTGCTTTCTTTCAGTGATTATAACGCGTTTTACCAACTCCCCTGTGCTGTTTCAGGATTTGAGATTCTAGCATTTCCTTGCAATCAATTTGGGGGACAAGAGCCAGGATCTAATTCCGAGATAAAACAATTTGCTTGTACCAGGTTTAAAGCAGAATTTCCAATATTTGATAAGGTCTGTCTTGTTCTTTTCTTCCTATTGTAACACTTACCATAGACAGAATAATCCCAGGACTTAAAGAGGGTTTCTCGTAACAGGTTGATGTGAACGGACCAAACACAGCTCCAGTTTACCAGTTTCTTAAGTCTAGTACAGGTGGTATTTTCAATGATCTGATCAAATGGAATTTTGAGAAGTTTTTGGTGGACAAAAACGGCAAAGTTGTGGAACGGTATACTCCAACAACATCACCACTTCAAATTGGGGTATGTGCGTTTATAAGCATTTTCAAAATCCTACCACACAAAGCCAACCATTGAACATTTGAAGTTCATTAATTAAAAATGGTGTTATTAGAATGATTTTAACTATTTCTGGAATTTGGTGCAGAAGGACATTCAGAAGCTCCTTGCAGCGTGAGGAGTAGCAGGAGAAGAAGGACATGTAAATGGAGAAGGCATGAGAAATATGTAGATTAATAGATTAATGTTCTTTGTACTATATATGAACTGGTAATAACATATCTTGTTCTGTTTTACCTCTTCATTGGCCAGAGACTCAAGACATGGGACGAACGGTTACATGATTTGTGCTTCAGATATCACTAATTTTTTGATGTTTTTCTTCATTTACAAGTTCAATTCCTAGTGTTCATGTTTTTGTGCAATTGTTTATTCTACTCTACCCAACATTTTGCCGTAACATAGACTTGTATAGTTATCAACATCTATTGGAATATTAATGCAACTTGCACTATAGGCATCGAAGGCACTTTCTTCTCGCTCTAGATGTGCATGGGATGGTGACCAAAATTTTTAGAAAACATTAGGACTAAATTATTTTAAAAAAACATATAGGGACTAATCTAACCAAAATTCAAATGCATAGAGATTTTTCTATCCTTAGTTCGGATTGATGAAATTGGAGGGAAGGGAAGGGGAAGGAGGAGGAGATGCCTCGAGGAAGGGAGATGGAGGGAG